ATATTACTCTTCAAACTTTTCTTGTAAGGGCAAAAAAATTGCTAGTTATTTTTCAGAAAATTTGCCATTGACGAATAAGGTTTGGCCCATAAAAGCCCATTGGGCCTGGCTGGGCACAACTAAGGCCCGGCCTTTTAAAATTTTTATCTTTCTCTTCAAGCTTTTCCTGTAAGGAAAAAAATTTACTTACTATAATTTAGAAAATTTAAAACTCCCAATTAACAGGCCCGCTACATGACCGTTAACAAGCCCGGTCCGGAAGCCTGAGGCCCAGTCCTGTCCATTGGCAGCCCTAAGTGGGAGATGTTGGAGTTCTATGGAAATTTAAAGGCCTTCTGAGATCATGTACTAAACTTATTTACAGCGAAATGTTGGATCCAGTGGGATTAGGTGGTGTGTGATGGTTGGCCCGAGAGGCAAGGGCCAAGATCCTCCCGATTACTATCACACGACATATGCACTAGATAGCCGTGGGAAGTAGCCCTCTGGATGAGGGTGTATGATGTGTACATGTGTCCAAGAGATGACTCCCCACTCCCTGTAACATTGGACTACGTCGGAATGACCCATGTGGTATCTTGCTAGAATGGGGCCTAGACTTTGTCTTCAGGGAGAGACATGTAATCTATGGATTAGGATCTTGTCTGCTTCATTCATTGACTGACTTTGATAGTCCAATCATGAGCCCCTACAAAGAGCTATGTGTTATGGGAACTATTGGGTCAGTTTGAGAAAATGTAGTGAGATGTGGTTACTAAAAGGACGCAATCCTCAGTTGTTATATTCCTAGTCCTTTGAATCCAATTCCCATTCTATAATATGTTTTAATATATTTTAGATGATTAAAAATAATTTTGATACCACTCTTGATATTTTATTTTATTGAAAAATATTTTTAAATAAGGAATAATCAATTTTGTGCATTTTTTTTAATCAAAGAGAAAAATAAAATTTACAATGGTTTTATAAAAATCCTTTTATTAATTTAAAATATAATTTAGGGAGTCGATGCTCATTGCATAGATCTTATGCTTGAGGCTAGACTGAGATCCCATGTGTCATTGATGGAGGAAACCCGGTGTGGGGTGTGCGGAGTCCTTGAGGGTAACCTGAGACAAGGTATGCACTATTATTTTTTATTTCATGCTTTCTTGATTTCATTCAAAATGTTATGTAATTTCCAGATATTTGTTTTCAATGAGAATTTATTTTGATGGCACGCAAGTGAAAGTCCTTAACATACTTTTTATTTTTATTGGTTAATATATATATTTGGACATTTGTAAGTGATCTGGATGGTAAAATAAACCAAAAGAAAGAAAACATCTTATCGGTTTATACTTGCCCGGGTCACATAGTCCTACTTTCAATTCGCTTCGCCAAACGATACCTCGCATATTTTGGACTCCTTGCACTGCACATTGCATATATCTTATGCTTGAGGCTATGTCTACTATTAAAGGAGTTCTTTCTAAGGTTAAAGAGGTTACAATCTTGATGTGCAGTAACACCATTAAACATAGCATGATGCGGAAGTTTACAAAGCAGAGGGACCTAGTGAGGCCCAGAATCACTAGAGTTGCCACTGTCGACCTTAGTCTTAAGAGCATGTATAAAAGGAGGATCCCATAGAGGACTATGCTTGCTTCTGAGGAATGGAGCAGGTGTAGGTCGTTCAGAGATGCCAAGGGAAGGACGGCACAATATATAATTCTTTCTAAATATTTTGGAGTTGGGTAAAGCAAGCGATATAAGTATTTCCACCATTGATAAAGGTCTTGTGCTTGGCTGACGCTGATAAGCCTTCTATGGGCCCTATATATGATGCACTTGAAGGAGCTAAGGAGATTGCAGAGAACCTGGGCAATGATGAGGCCAAGTACGGCCCAAATTTGGTCGATTATAGATGAGAAGTGGGATAGACAGCTATATCGACCATTGCATGAAGAGAGGTACTACTTGAACACTAAGTTCTTTTATACTGATGGTGATATTGAGGCAATAGACACAATTATGGATGGTTTTAATGAATGCCATGTGAGATTAGTTTCTGGTCCAAATATCCAAGTTAAGATATCAACTAAGGAGCTCATTTTGTACAAGTGTGCTTCAAAATCATTCGGGAAAGAAATGGCACTAAGACAAAGGAGCAAAGCAGAACCTGGTAATAAATAATATATGTTTTTATTATTAATTTTTATTTGAAAATTTTATTTCAAGTTCCTAATAAGTAATAACTAGTGTTATATTTTTTAAAATTTGCTAAAATTATGATAATGTTAAATGCTTAAACTAATTATAAAGCTTGCACACAAATTGCAGCCCAATGGTGGAGACAGAACAGGAGTAGAGCGCCACACCTTCAGAAGATGGCTATTAGGATCTTGAGTTAGAAAACTAGCTCTTCTATTTGTGAGCGCAATTGGAGTTCATTTGAGATGGTAATATTCTTTTCTTGTTCAAAAGTTTATTTAATATATGGGGTCAATTAGTAATATTAATAGACTAGTAGTACACTAGTACTCATGCATTTTTTCTTCTAGGTGTATACAAAGAGAAGAATAAGCTTGAGCAAAGGAAGCTTAATGACTTGGTTAGAGAGAAACAGAGGCTCAAAGAGAAGTATAACTAACAAAAGAAGGATCCTATCGCTTCGAAAGACGGAGAATGCTTCTAATTGGTTAGTTCATGACCCTGGTACTCAAGAGGTCGTCCCCAGGGAGGGTTGACCTGGAAAATGGTTGACGAGGCTTTAGCTTCAGATTATGATCCTAGGAGGACCACTCGAGCAACAACTACTGCTGGTACTTCACACTTGCAGAGGGTGAGGGAGATAGAGGAGGTAGATTCAGGAGAAACTAAGGAAGAAGAGCAATATGTTGAAGAGGGTGATGATTCTAATAATGATGGTCTCGATTCAGATGCAAATGCCAGCGATGATGATGTTGATTCTGATTCTTACTGATGATGATAGGAGAAACACAGATGTCCTCTCTTTCTTTTGTAGTTTTGTATTTCATCTTTATTGCACCATCTTGTTTTGGTGTTTGGACTTTAGACATTTGGATGTCAGACTTGTTGCTTTTTTTGAATACTGGTTGTTTGGTTTTATACTTTTGTAAGTTTGTTGAAGACTTGGAAAGTCGGAGTCCATGTTATTATGAAACACCGAGAGTTGGAGACTATTACTAATACATAAACTATTAAACATTTAACTTTTTTAAAATTTTCTGTGATTTGAATTTTGAAATTTTGAAATTTTGAACAAGTTTATTCTTAACATGCGATGTGTTGGAATTGAAAAAAGTATGTTACAACAAATACAAATGTAAAAAATTACAAAATTGACACAAATATATGTATATATGTGCGTTTGGACAACATATATATCTAAACAATTTGTATTACAAGGCGCCTAAGGTTTTGGGCACCGGGCACTAGGCCAGCCACCTAGGGGTCGCTTAGCATTTTTTGAAACCTTGATTGAAGTAGCTCGATCGCAATATGGTATTAGTCTACCTTAAAGGAAATATAAGTGACTTACTAAAAGAAACAGGGACGTTAGGGGCTAAGCCGTTTGATATACCCATAGATCCAAGTTCCAAACTTTCAGTGGATGAAGGAGACTTGCTAGAAGATCCTGCCAGCTATAGAAGATTTGTATAGACTTATCAACCGGACAATCACTAGACCAGATATAACCTTTGTTGTGAGTGTAGGTCAGTTTATGCATTCTCCCACAACACCATATTAGTAAGCAGTAAGAAGAATCTTGAGATATCTGAAGGGGGCCCAGGCCGAGGAGTCATCTACAAGAAGAATGGCCACTTTGATATTGAGAGTTATTTTGATGCCAATAGGGCAAGATCACCCTCAAACGGAAGATCTACTACAGGCTACTGCACCTTTGTTGGAGGAAACTGACTTGGAAAATCAAGAAACAGAATGTGGTGGCCAGATCTAGTACTGAGGTCAAGTATAAAGCTATAACTCATACTATATGTGAGTTAATGTGGCTAAAAACCTTGATGTACGAAATGAGTGTTTCAATTACTGAACCAATGAATATATTCTGTGACAATCAGGCAGCCATTCATATTGTGAGTAATCCAGTTTTTCATGAACGAACAAAATATATTGAAGTGAATTGTCACTTCATTTGTGAGAAAGTGACCAACAAGCAAATAACAACCCCATATGTAAAGTCATTGGATCAATTGGCTGATAAATACACCAAGGCGCTTAGTCATAACCAGACTCAGCAGATCTGTTCCAAGCTGGGCATGGGTGACATTTATGCTCCACCTCGAGGGGGAGTGCTAAAGAATAATTTGTTTTGTGTATTGGGATATTTATATCATTTTAGTATACTATAGGATATTTATTTTCATTGAGTGCATTTTTGTCCTTTGTAAATCCCAAGCAAACATTATAAATAAAGATATTAGTGGTGCATGGGCTGATTGAATCTCATGTCACTCTCTCCTCTTTTTTCTATCATCTTTTCTCTCTTCTCCCTTTCCTTTCCCCTTCTTTTCCCTTTCTCGCTCTAGTTTCACAACTTTTACTGTTCATGGTATTGTTCACAGCACTGTTCACAACAGTGTTCATAGTACTGTCGGCTGATGTCATTGATCAAAATGTAATTTAAAAGTATACGTGTCATGTACAAAATGGAGTCTACACAGGGTTGTCTACCAGTGATTAACTGATTATTAATATTTATCTGTCTCAAGACCAGTGATTATTATTTTTCATAAAGGATTTCCAAACTATGTGATATTGCTCAAACATCCAAGGGCTCAGGTTGATGTAAGCAATTGAACCATGTGATATTGCTCAAACAGGAAACCAAGCAAATATACAAACTGCAATCGAGAGCACTTACTTGTCGATTAGATCCTGTGCTTCATTGCTCATTTCCTCAGGAATCCGAGGCCAAGGTATTTTACGATTGAGTATATTATCAAATATTGTCTGCAAGCCAGCCAAACAAATCAGTACAAATGCAAAATAACAAACTGAATTATCCTGGAATGCAATATTTATAGAAGATACCCGGGTTTATTATCATTTTACACACTGCTTAGCAAACACATGTAAACTACTCCAAACAAACCATAACATCATGTTTCCAAATGGGCATTTTGTCTGCATAGGTATTTTTATTGGATATTAAATTTCCCAGATGCTCCTCACCCAAATAAATAACTTAACAAATCCACCAAGATTATAAAAAATAAAGGCAATACAAAATGTTATTTTGAAATAGCTGATTAGAAATACAAAATGTACTGAATAAACAAAAAATATTTATGCCACTCATATTTTAGTCATTTTTATTGGATATTAAATTGCACAGATCCGCGGCATCACATGTATTTTCTTCAGGCAAAGACAAGACTAACCAAAAACTTGTACATTCTCACAAGGACAAACTTATGGAAAAAACAGGGGGACAAGTCTATATTGTTGGATAGGAAGTATAGAATTAGAACCATTCCGAATTAGCGTTGTGGAGCCTGGAAAACTCAGCAGAAAACATATGAAAACCAAATAGACATCCATTGTGCCAGTTACTCGGATAAGGAACAACCCCATTTTGAGAAACATTGAACAGAAGCACTAATGATTTCTGCATGTAATGTAATGATGACCCCTGTGATCAACTAAGGATACAAACTGGACAAACATGCGGGGCCATGAGTTAAAACAGCTTTATTCCTCAAAATTCATAATCATTGAAGCCATGCATAAATGACAAATGGGTATAACAATCGCAGCAAAAATAGAAAGACAAAAAATCAAGTAAAAACTGCGAACACACTATTTCACTCCAAGCAGGTGGACAGTTGAAATTGGAATAAAGAAGATATTTTTGTAAGAAAGATGATATTTTTGTAAGAGACTCGTAGGATGGATTGGACAATACCGGTAACTTTCCTGTATATAGATCACCACTCTGTGAACCACCCTAGAACCACTTCAAAGTACAAAAGCCATTACTCGAGCCTATGATAAATAGGCATCTAGAGGTTAAAACATATAAATATGAATAAAAGTAATAGAAAGGAAAAGTCCAAGTCTCAAATGGAGGAGATACTTAAAGTTGTTACCAATTGGAATTGGAGGGTCAATATGAAGGGATAGACATTTTTAATGACGAATAATATACCTGTGGATGTTCTGCATTGAAGGGTGGAATGCCCACAAGCAGCTCAAAGAGAATGACACCCACAGACCACCAATCAGCAGTTGTGCCTGCAAGACTATCCAGTCAGTCACTCACAAGAAACACCAAAGTGGCAAAAGGATTAGAAGCCCAGAAATGAAGCATCTGTTTCGACAAGCATTTTAGAGAATAGAAGTAAGAAACTGGCTGTTTGCCTTTTTCATAAGAATAATAAGCTATACGGACCATGTCCTGTTCCCAGAAGTATTTCAGGTGCCAAATAATCAGGTGTGCCCACAGCTGAGCGCTTCTGCCGCCTCTCCCTTTGATCTGATTGCTCTAACACAGAAACCTGAGGCTCATCTTCTCCAAGAAGAGAAGTTCCACCGACTGCTGGCCCAGATAAATCATCAGTACTGTTGATGAGACCAACCTTTGAAAGTCCAAAATCTGTCAACTGTTCACAAAGAAAACGTCAACAACTACCAAGCATTTTACTAATTGCACACATGGATAAAGTGAGATGACAAAGGAAAAAAAACGCAGAAATTTCAAGTAAACATCTGCTGTTGCATTGACATGTAATTTAAAAGGAAAAAAGAAAAAAAAAAATAGAAGAAAAAAATTAACAGCTTCCTCACAGCAGCAGAAATGGAGGGAATACTTTGTTCCTTTCAAGATTGTTCCTTTCAAGATTAAGTCCTGCATATCTTGATTCCCAGCAAGAATATAAAATAACTTTAAAGATCTTTCTCCAATGATTACAAGTTACTTCAAAAGAATCCAAGTGAAAGAAAAGTGTATTACCCAACTACTTGATAGTGGATACAAAGACTAGAGCAAATTTTCAAGCCGAAAAACAAGGCAACATGGACACCTTCAACAAGCCACTTGCTAAAAACCAAGCTAAGTGAATAAGTTACAATCATTTAAATAACAATTACAACCATCTCTAGCCTTGTATAACCACTATAAATAAACTCAAATACTAACCCCTAATGGAGCAATTACATATAAAGCAAGACTAGCTTATGAATTACACTTTCATAGCACAAATTACATAAACTATGTCCCAAAGCTTAAATACATCATGCAACTAATCTAACCAAATTCTAAGGAATAAAATCAACTAAACAGGGAATTAGAATGTCAAATTAAAAAAAGGCAGCCATGCTTCGAACCCCTTGTGCCGGGGCCACACAATCAGGCCCTATTAGGACTTAATTTTCTCCCTTCGGATTATACAAAAGTTGTTCAATCTCACAAGAGTGTCTAAACCAAATGGGAATAAATTACACACATTAAAATCACTTCTTAAGATCTCAACACAATGGCATTATTATCCAAAACAGAATGCAAAAGGTTTGAATCGAATCGGATAAAGAACAAGAGAGTTATGGCCAAACTACACAAGGTGGTCCCTCAAACCACCAAAACAGTCTTGTATGAAAAAATTATGAACCCCCAAAGGTAAAACGTGATGAAAAAGTATTGAAAATTGAGTGACACTCTGAGACTAAATTATTTGATGGATTTGAAGCAAAGTAATCAATGGATACTATGCATGATCATGGATTCTCATGCATAAAGGCTATAACTTATTAAGGACCACACTATGAATTAGCATGATGAAAAAGATGATCAAATGGGGACTCTTAGATCAATAAAACTTTTCTAAATTCAAAACTCCAACAGTTATAGAAGCCAAGAATATGATCTTATGAGAAAATAAAATTCAATAGAGTTTACCTTGATAAATGCACACTATGGACTTAAGCATAAGAAAGTAGGACCACCATCAAGATCACCATTAATGGAACTTTAAAAACTACAGATGCCAAGAATATGATGGGAAAAGAAAATTCAATGGAGTTTACCTTGATAAATGCACGCTATGGACTTAAGCATAAGAAAGGAGGACCACCATCAAGATCATCAGTAATGGAACTCTAAAAACTCTCTCTTCAATTTTCTGTCACAAAACCTAAGAAGAAGGAGGAGAGCAACAATTTTTCAAAATGGTTCAAGAGATAATTAGGGTTTGAGATCTCATTATGTGCTTTTATAACATGGGTGTAACCTTGGACTCAATCAACACCCTTGATGCACTAATTCAAAGGCACATGAGAGGCTAATGTAACTAGCCACCCATCCCCATCCAACCACTAGGAAGAAAAGATGGGATTTCACACCATTATCACTCACCCTAACCCTAAGTTATGCCACTTTACCATTTTGTCCTTGGCTTATGTTTTTGTTCTAATTGTATCCAATATGGCCTTAAAAAAATACCCTTAGTTTTTTTAATAATGTCTTAGAGTAAATAACCACAAAGGCTCAAGGGCAAAGAAGTAATTGGCAAAGCTCACACATGTGGAGATACTCTACTTTATCAAAGCCAATCACTTTGTAGATCTAAAATTTCAAACCAATCAATTTAAAGGTAATGTCCCCTTCACACAAGTGTGTGAAGATATTTTTCAACTCAAATTTGAAAATGCATTTTCTTTTTAACATCTGACCAACTAGATCAACCAAATATACCGAACAAATAAATAAATTAATTAAAGTTCACACATGCCATGCAAGACCCATGTCTGAGTTAATTAAGACATGTGATAAAAAGGTAGCCTTAATTTATAACATTATATAACAATATATAACAAGACACCATAACACAACCCCTTATAAAACAAGCAACCAAATGCCAATCTAGTCCCCTGCTTAGGGATCAGCGCCCTGCTGGGCGGTGATCCTAAAGTGAGGTATGGGGTGCCGCGTGACAGCCCTAGGCTATTCGGACGCCATGGTACTACCAGGTCAGGACTAAATTGAAATTTAAGTCAAACAATTTGAAAACCCTCATTTTTTTAGCAAATTAAATTCCGAAAAATTCTCTAAAATTCACACTAAATATTTAAAGTATTTTTGAGCAATTATTACGTTTTTCTCATCATTATAAAATCAGACAAAAGGTATAGTGAGATCTCAGGCTAATAACTATAGGTATCGATCGGAGTACTCCACTGGGCTAGTCCCGAATGATATTCCGCCGAGTCTCAGATCAACCCAATAGACCTATGTTCCACAGTCTAAAGCAGGAACACATAATTGGCCATATCAAAACCGTTGAGCCAGAACTTCCGATCATTCGGCTCTCAATGGACTACAGGTGTACCCTTGTGGGACATGATCTAACTCAATTATAGGGGTCCTTTCAAAACACATGTGCACTGACTCTTCCAAACTCAGATAATGCATTTGGAAGAGTGGCTTCCCGTACGAAATGAAAATGCACATGCCATGCAATGGTCTCGTGTCAGGATACGGACCTATGTACCATAAGTCTTGACCATTCCATACAAGGCGAATACTCAATAAGTACTCAGGTTTTATTTTTCTCGTTTAGATTCTCTAAGCCCTGACCGATTGCAGCTAAACATGAGGCTAAGCTATAAAATCCTGACTAGGAGGTGACCCTCACACCTCCTTGATAAATTGCTTTCTCAACACGTAAACTCTCGATGCCTCATGCGTACTCAGGGTAAACGAATCTAGGCTCCATTTCGCAAGACGCCAAGATTTCAATCTCTCAATCGCTCCCACTAAATGAGAGACTACTGGAATTTAGGCCTTGATAGGCTATATTCCCAACACTACTTGCTATCAGTAATCGAGTAACTTAACAATGAACAATATTCCGATGTTTCATGGAATGAAAAGTCCATGTTGCTTGGGAAGGAAAGAGAATCATCAAGAAATGAAGTCAAGCATATCTCCTAAGCTGGAATTTCCAGATCACAAAATCTACAACAATTGGAAGCTGAATCCTAGATAACCACAATCAAGGTTTCTCAACAAATTTAAAGAAGTTTTTGTGTGAATTGAAGGCTCGTGACTGGTACATAACCATCTAGACATGACTTTTGCCCCTATAAAGGTATACTAGAACAACCATATAACTTCACAAAAGAAATTAAAAGAAGAATACCTTGATATGACCATCATGAGCAATCAGCAAATTGTCAGGTTTTAAGTCGCGATGCACCACACGCAGAGAATGCAAGTATTCCAATGCAAGGACCTACATTTCATCAAGAAAACTGGTCATATTCACGTATCTTTCCTCAAGAAAACTAGTCAACCTTTTCATATTCACATTGAAATGAATGCACAACATGGAACAGTGCTGGGTAAATGTATTAGAAATAAAATTACTGCCAAGAATAGGAAATGTGCTTACAACTTCAGCTATATAAACCCGAGCAACATCCTCATCCAGGCAACCCAAATTTCTTAACAAAGAGTAGAGATCTCCTCCATTCAAATACTCCATTACAAGATAGAGGTTTTCCCGGCACGTGAATGAGTAGAAAAAACGGACCTATTAATCATGTAGTTTATAGATATAAATACTTTTGCCACAGTTAATCTGGAAGAAAAAATTGTTAAGCCACTAGACCTGCTCACCACAAAGGGATTGCGAACAGAAATTAATATGTCACGTTCAGCCAATATACTTTCCACCGCATTTTTACGGATCATGTCAGCCTTCTTAAGAACCTGTACACATTTCAAAATGTAATTCAGTTCTGCCAACTTCAGATCATCCAATATTATAGAATGTTTGAAATATGTTCATGCATGTATTTATGCCATCTTAGCTAATCTGGCATTAGTCAAACGTTTCTGGAAGCCTTTATCTTCTTTCAATAAAAATGACACTTGGGAAAGGGCATAAATTTGAAAGGAAAAAGGCAATTATGAAAGAGAAGTACAGGAGATGGGAGAAATAAATGGCAGAAATAATAATTTAAAAAAAAAAAACCATGAAAACTATTAGACACTCAGACAGGGATTAAAATATCATGCAGTAACAGGACTACAAAATCAACACAGTTCTCAAAACCAAGACTGAATTTGTCAAATTCTTGAACCACGTTTGTTGAGTAAAATCCAAGAATCCAGTCATGTGTTGTCCAAATTATGACTGTGAGGAAGATGATGAGCCATCAGTAGATTAAGAGAATTGACATCACTGACTTGCATCAAGGACTCACATACGCATCAAGTACGAGATCCAAAATGTTCATCCTGGTTGAGATCAGAACATTAAACATTTTTCAATGCCAAAATTTAAATAAAAAATTTTCCAGATGAGTCCCAGAATGACCTGAATGAAAAGCTTGAAAAATTATAGCACATTGTGAACTAAACACAACACAATAAAATGCAGTGTTTTCTCCAATCAGAAGGGTATCAATTATCAGGTAATAATCACAATTATGTGAAATCATATGGATCCATGCAGTTATATTTTGATCTTGAACTTATAGGACAGCAAACCACAGATGGTACGCTTATAGGGAAATTGCTAGTAGATATCATGATTTACACAGTTTGTTTAAAAACCATAAAGCACAAACTTATAAGAGCCCAACTCATTTCTGAAGCACACAGAAACACATACACCTTAACGTATTTAGAGAGAAGTGTAGAAACAATGAAACGACAATACGACTGTGCAGGTAAGTGTGTATTTGTTTGTGCATGCATGTACGTAAGAATGCATTTGAACATACAAAATATGGATTACTTTTACATGAAAGGAAATCAATGAAGCCAAAACAAAGGATTAAAGTATCATTAATAAAGTAAGCACAACAGATATGACATGAACTCAATTCCACTTAACAGAAAATAATAGACACCACCATTGTATTCTTTTTTGGTTTTATATAATTGAGCAACTCTATGGGGGTAGAATGTTGGGCGGAAAAAAAACAATATATCCATAGAATGAGTGTAGCGAAGATGAGGATATTGAAATGGATTAATGGTAAGACAAGAAGGGATAGAATTTGAAATGAATCCATTCGGGAGAATATGGGTGTGCCACCAATACGTGATAAGATGAGAGAGAGTAGACTTAGGTGGGCTGGGTACGTGTGGCGCCGACCAAATACAGCACTTGTTAGGATGTGCGAGTTAGTTCAAGTGGAATGACTGAAAAGGGCAAGGGGTAGGCCCAAAAGGACATGGTTGGAAGTAGTCTGAAAAGATATGGGGACTTATGGCCTCACTAAGGGTGTGGCCTTTAATAGAGCAAAATGGCAGACCAATATTCATATAGCCGACCCCACTTAATTGGAAAAAGGCTATAATGATGATGATAATGATAATGATGATGATGATGATGATGATATAATTGAGCAACTGTGGTCTTATGCAGTTATCACAAAAGCACACAGAGCACAATGAAACCCTCAAACCTATGTGACAAGAACCAAGAGGCTTGAGCTGTTGAAGTACATGGACATGCCTTTCTACTAATGGGAAGTTAATATTATGATTGGCATTGGTTTATAATGAGTTTTATTAGATTAATATACAAAGTTATAGCTGACCTAAAGCCATTCAAATAGCGGTACGCTAAAGATGGCTCCTTTAGATGGGGCCTACAACCATAGAACCAGGGACTACAACAATCGATCAATTATTCCAAAGGGAAAAATTAAATAAATTAGTAAGTTATAGTCTTCCTTTATTTTGTAGGCAATATGAGCTTTTGCTAATTTCCTATTTTTAATCTTGTAGCAAGGGCTAAGTCCCTTAGGATTATAACGGAATAAAGATCCTCGTGTTCAGAAAGATATAGTAAAGACTTAGAAAGGTTTAACAACTCGAGTTTCAAGTCAAACAAATAAAGAACTGCAACCTCTACAAATGCGATGCAAGACCTAAGGCCAACTCATTGAATTTTGAACAAAGAATGATTTACTTTCAATTATTGGTGAGATACCATCTTTGGAGGACAAATTCCTCTTCATATAGAGCCTAGCCTAGGTTAAGAGCCTCCCCAAAGGCAAGCCCTTTTTCTCTTTCCCAACAGGTGGTATGTTGCATCCTTTCTTCATCCAAACTCTACCCCCAATCCAAGCTCCCATACACCCTTCTCACACCATCCTTTATCTCTTAACCATCACCAGCCCTACATCAACTCATTCAACCATCCCCATCACACAAAATCCAAGTCAAGCCCATCTTCTCATTGTTAACCCAACACTCTACATGGAGGCGGATGTCAAGTGTCCACACTTGGACACATGTTGAAACTTGATCACACGGCCTTGATACATGGCCGTGCATATTGGTTGACAAGATTATTTTTCTTAATACGGTATTGACACCTCTAATAGAAGTATCTTGTACAATAACTTGCATTTTAATATCACAAAATGTTTAAAGCTCTACATGGGGTACAATGGACTTTATTGTCTAGTAGGTTTGTCGTTCAAATCCCATAAGTTTTTTTTTTTTTTTTTTTGGGTTTTCTCCCTCAAGTTTTCAATAATAAAGAGGAATAAAAACACTGATAGTGGGATTTGAAACCCATCCATCTTTCTCCATAATCTCACTATCACAAATTGAGTGTAATCTAATCGAAAACTAAATTATATATAAGATATAATATTTTATTGATCATAAAAAAAAGCACATGAGGGGATTTGAACTCCTACCACCTTAAGGTAACCTTACACCCACGAGCTCTACTGCCTCTCCATCAACATGCCTGCTGATATAAAAGGGAAACTGCATTATATATTACAAAAATTATCAATGAACATAAATGAATGGACATGTCTAGTCATACTGGCTTTCTTAGGCATATAAACTAAACACCTCCGACACTCATAAGCACCGACAACCGTGTCAAAATGCATGCAAAATTGCTTCTTCATCCTAGACCTAGATGCCCACCATACTCGATAGAATTCCCACCCAAGTCTCCCCAACTCCTTTCTTATGCCCCTTTACCCCAAAAAGCCTAAACATTTTCTTTCTCAACCACCCCACTCCATGCTGGATCTGCCAAATTAGCAATCTTCAGCCCATTAAAGGGCTCAATTCAAGCCCTATTCACCTCTCTAACCCTAGCAAACCCTAGACATCTCCCCACCTCCATTACAATTCAAACTCATCAATCATAGACGTCACAAGAGCCCTAAAACAACCCTAAAGCCCGTGATCCAGTATCTTCTATGTCTACAAGAGCTATTACATTTTTGTAAGATACAGCTCCCATTGGTCCTAAATTTGGTACCAAAGCCCATGAATTCCATATGTGAAGTCCTTAATGTGTAGCTACGGACAGATCTACTAGAAGTGGCCAATGGAAAATATTAATGGAGATGCCAACCCAGAGGATAACGAGACCCAAACTTGAGTATGGCAACGTTGATCAAGAAGCAATGTGTAATAACGACGATGAGCCACTCTTCTGAGCCACTCTTCCACAGCTCCACAGTTCCTCTTACGAGGACAGACAACATATTATTGACCTCAATTCATGAGCCACTCTTCTGAACCTTCCAGCTTGATATCACATTCTTGATAGAATGGTCATAGCATTTCCTAGGTCACTGAAATGAGATCTTATGCACTAAGTTGCCAAGTAGAAATGTGGCCAGATTGCTTTCATGTTCATCAGGAGACCAATGGTGAGGCAGTAAGTTGTATCTTATTATGGCTAGATCCAACTTTTCAGCATCTGTGACTAGATCCAAACATTTGGATTGAAATTATGAAAAGAATCCAGAGTCATTACTTTTAAATTTTTCGGATTTCAACCAAAAACCGAACAATTTAGATAAATAACTCCATGCTAGGCTACGTAACTGAAACTCCACTCCATATATAGTTTAACCGGCACGTATGAAAAGGAAATTCAAATTGAAGTGCATTTTATAATACATGGCTTTACTTACCAGAAGAAAGCATATCAACATAAATAATATGGATCGTCGAGTTTGGTTATGTAGCAACTCTATGTCAAGGATTCTAAAGCAACAACCAAATGAATATCAAGTACAACATGGGGAAGGAACAAAGGCCACAAAGGACTCGTGCAAGAGCCATTGTACAGCTGTTAAAAGTGTTACAACTCAATCCTAAGGAATACAATTCACGAAACATGCAACATAGTGCTTATTTAAGCCATGCCTAAAGGCAGCAAAACATACACTTGATATCAGTGTTTATAAACTTGTACTCAGGCCTGGAATGCGAGTCAGACTTGGCCAAATCTTAGAAAAAATAACAAAGAGACCTTGGAAACAGGTGAGACTCAGCTGGTTAAGGTTTTGGACTCTAACCCAGTATCCTGCTCAACCCAAGATGAATTGCCTGTGTCTGAGTTAGACTGGATAAGTATTAAACCACTGCCTCAGACTTTTGAATCTCATTCTCTCATATAAGCAGAACTGAGACATTTTTTAAATTAAAAAAAAAATTACTGTAATTATATGTCACTCTACATGTGCATTTTTTAGCTTCTAAGGATCTCCTATGGAGAACTTTTTCTTTACAAAAAAGCGATTGTGTATCTATATATTAAGAAAATTTTCAGAATTTTTGCTGATTGAGAAGAAAATTTTCATATTTCTCAAATAAATTCATCAGATATGAAAATCTGTAATGATATTATACACTTTTCAGTCTTTCATGATGAAAGTTTGGGAGTAAAGAAAAACGAGACCTATGCAATTAGAACTTGTTGGTATGAGAAGATTTTAAAGAGAATCAAGGGTGAGGTGGGAACAGCAAAATGGAAGAGCGAAACAAAAAAGAACAGAAAAAGACAACTAGATTTCCGGACAATTGGGCCAAGAAATTAAGGAAAGTGGGCAATTCAAAGACAAGTATTCCTACATTTAGCTTGTATTGTCACCTAAAAACCATCTATAGGTAAAATGCCATATATCATAAAAGTAAACCATATGACCCCCATAAGAAATTAAGAATATCCAGAACCCTTTAGAAGCTCCCAAGTCAACAAATAATAGCACCAAAATTTCAGTAGTGGAAACATAAGCGAGTTACAATTGGGAAGCCTAGGGAGCTAGCACCCAAAACACTTATACAGAAATAATAACATAAAAATAAATTGAATAAATCAGAAATTACAAAAGCTCCAAAAAACAATCTACACCAGGCAGATGCAAGCATAAAGCATGGAAACTCTAGAAATAAGTGGAACTAATCTAAAACAACGATGAAGCAAATTCTGTACCATGTACCTTAATGGCAAAGAGATCACCCGTTGTTTTTTTCTTTGCCAAGAAAACCCGTCCAAATGCCCCTCTGCTTATTGGTTTTATAATTTCAAAGTCATCTATTGAAGTCCTGTCCTTGCTTGATGAATGAATAGGGCTTGCTCGAAGGCTACGAACTGTATCATCTTCCATTGGACCATCCTCATCAATTACACTACTAGAAATGTCCCCCTTTTCATCGTAAACCACGTCACATAGTTGCATATATTTCTCCCTAGACAACAAATCCAATTACCAAATGGATCAAAATAGGACCTAAGAATATATCCAAATGAAACATTACCAATCAAAAAAGACAAAATTAACATAAAACTAAACCATCCAGCATTGTTTCATTCTACAAAACTTAAGAAGAGAAATATGACTATAAAAATAAAAAAGAAGAACAAGAAAAGACAGGCGCATTCACATCATGACATTGCTCCAAATAGCAGTAAAGAACTATCAACAAATGAAGAAACTGAAATGCTCACTTAATAAGTTTCTCTATGCGTGCTCCAACTGTCTGCACTGTGAGAGCATCCAGCTTCCTTCGCTGAACAACCTCTTGGAGGTCTTCAAGACAGGAAACAAGATAATCCACTGCCTGATCTTCATTTGTTGTTGCATTCGCAACACACCGAGCAATATCAGCAAGCTCAGTTATCTGCAGTTTGTGACAAGGTGACTCTTAGGAATAAGAGGTCTTAACGAATGCAGACTGGCCATAATACCATTTAAAGCATATAATTTTAGAAAGGAAATTCGCAGAGAATGGTTCAATTAGTGAAGCCGCATATAGAAAGTTAAATGTGATGCACAAAATTTGTATCCTTGGCCATGTCTATGGAATCAAATCAATCATATTTACAAGAACATAAGAAATTAAATACTCTAACAAAATAAATATGTTCGCGTTTAAATCACTGATGCTTAAGGTTTTTGAACTACTGTATATGACATAATAACAGCCTGTGGGATAACAATGTTATCACCAAAAAATAAGATAATTTCCACAGATCACTCTTTGAGAAAAACTCCACAGACAATCATGTAAATGAAATGTTAACATTACAGCACAAAATTACAGTTTCTAGAATAAAGTGTTCACAAGCTAAGAATATATATGCATTCATTCTTAAATTTTCTCATCAGCTTAAGACCATCAAGCATGAATAGTAGAAAACGAAACTTCCTGCTTTTTCACATAAATGAGTCAAGGTTGTTTCCATCCAGAATAAACCAGCAGCTATGCAATTATACAACAAAATGTAGTCAAGATTCCAATATCGATGGGGAGAAACAAAAAAATTTCTCCTAGATGGACTTAGTTTACAATAATCAAAGTTTCTCATATAAGATTCTAAAATCCAGTGGCACTTCCCAAAAATCTACCATGCAATAACAAGGTCCACAAGCTCACTCTTGCTCTAGAAAGTGTAGACTGCTATATACTAGGAAGGCAACAGATGGAAAAGGAAGGCCATGGTTGCAATATCACACAATACAAGCCACAAAGAATTTAATTCATCCCGAGTAAATTAGAAGGTAATGAAAATATATCATAAAACACAATCTCTTTCCCAAAAATAATAATAATAATAAATACTAAACTCAGAGGGGACCTCTGGAAAAACTGCAATCACTTAGTGACAGTTATCCTATGGGGTCCAAGTCCGCCTAACGTCCAAGGAAATTAACCTATCTTTGACATATTTGCAGGCCTTGCTGAGTCTCATTGTGGCATAACTGGGGGCTGAAGGGAAGCTAATGCACAACATTTGTAGAAAGGCCACTGCAGGTGGGACCACTGATGGCAACTAGTCCCCTTCTTGACTGCAGCACCACATTTGGTCCTGATCCCCACTACGTTTGATAATGTGGGACTCCTGACCCGCCATTTGTTTGCTAACAGTATCTGTATGTATAGCACCCGACTTGTTGGATGCCTTCTTGTATTTTGATGTAAAAATTACTATAATTTGCACACACTCACGTTCACCTTGTTTTTGGGGGGGAAAACGAAGTTATAAAGGGAAAGAGTTCTCATTTAAAGAGAAAGATAAATGCAAAGTGGATGATTTTCTCATAGTTAAATAGCCTTACAAGCGAAAGAAGTATCATATTTGGGTGACTGCAGCTTTAGTTGGTCAAACATGGTGCAGATGCAGGACCCTTCTACTCAAATCATTAATATGTGACCATTTTAAATAAAGACAAATACATTTTTTTTTTAAGAAGCTTTAATTTTGTTTAGGCTTCCAAGCCTGAAATGGGACCTAAGCCATGCCAAGAATGGTTTCTACCAGCAGCAGCAGCAAAGGAGGAAACGAAAACCAGATTTCAACCGTCCTCTATAGTGTTATCATCTTTGCTTCTCCTCAACCAATTTCTTCTCTTCTTTTTTTTCCTTCCAATTTTGCTAGTTAACAAATCCTTAGCCATATCTTTATTTAAAAAAAAAAAAAAACTCCTTAACGATATCTGAAAGTATATGGTCACTTGTTCATCCATCTTCGGCCACTAAAGTGGAAGACAACTTACCTTAGAAGAAGTGCATGCGAAGGGGATCCTTGGCCGAAGCTAAAAGTTCCAAAGCTCAAAAGGGTCACCAGTACTATTTTTCACTGTTTTATTCTGGTGCTTGTATACACTATTTAGGCCAAAGAAGGCTAAAGAAATTATCATAAACTTCCAAAGATAGTCAGCCAAAGATTTCACAGGAAAACAACACGAAAGATGATAATGTTACGGAAGAAAGTTAAATTTTGGTTGTGTTACCACAATATATCAGAAAGCTTTTATCATTTCTTAGACCTCATTTCGTCTTCTGCTACTGGCTGACGGACTAGAGAAGGAGAACTTGGGCTAAAGTCGACAATTCACGAGCCTATAAGTACAACACTTTAGTGCTTTGGCCAATTCACAGAAAGACCAAACAAATTTCACTTATAACAGATGGCAAGGGTTATGTCAAGTTGCATGGTGAATGCAACCAAGGGATCTTAGAAAGCAATACCATCTTGGTGTACATTCATGATCACATCTGATTAGATCTAGCACATAGAACTACTTTCCCAAAAATGGTTGGAATAACAACTTAAGCAAATCACCCATGAGATTAATATTTATCATCATCATCATCATATAAGCCTTATCCCAACTATTTGGGGTCGGCTACACAAATCATGTTCCCCCATTCCGCTCTATAAAGGGTCATACCTTCAATCAGACCACAAGTCACCGTATCTTTTTCACTACTTCAATCTATGTCCTTGGGGCCCTTCCAATGACTGTTTAGAGCCTTCCTTGAACCAAATCACCCACCTAACTCATGTTATTCTGAGTCGACGTTGCACATGACTAAACCACCTAAGTCTACTTTCCCTTATTATCACCTATTGGAGCTATCCTCATGTTCCCTCAAATGTATTCATTCCAAAATCCTTCCTTGTCTTGCTACTCATCCATCTCAACATCCTCATCTCAGTGACACTTATTCTATGGATATGTTGTTTATTGACCACCCAACATTCCGTCCCATAAAGCATGGCTAGTCTTACAGCCGTCCAATAAAAAGTTCTAAATACTATATACGTGGCAAGAAAAGGGTAAGTCTTGCTATAAAAAGGTATACACTTTCCACCTAATATTGGAAATCTTTCTTAAGCGAAAAGCAATCCTTGGACAAATGTTTAATCACATGGTGTGGTTTAAGTCACTGTTTAAGGGAAAATATTCCACGCAATGATGGATGTTATTTTGGAAGGCTTGTGAGCATAGTGCATAGTGGTGATGGAGTTCTAATATTTGAATTCTGTAAAAACAACGTCATTATATTGAATTTTCACAACAACAAAAAAGGCCATTTATTAAGCTACATAAGCATAAAAAGGTCAATTAAAATGAAATTTCATATAGCAGCTCTTCCTTTTAACTAGAGATGATCCTTCAAGCCACAAGTCATCTTCTTAACCATGTCTAGTTTCAACCGGCAACTCAATTTTCCCTTTAGAAAAGTCAACATCTTATAATAATTCAAGGAACTAATGTCATGCCATAAGTCAGTTATGCAAACTCCACAAACACGACAAACGTTCAAGAATCAAGGTCATGAATGTTAATGTCACGTTGGAAATACCTGCGGAAGATCTTCATATTCAGTGAAGGTGCTTCTTCCAGCTAAAAGCAAGTCAATTTGGCCAATTCTTGGTGTTAATAACGGAGACCGGGGAGTCATGCTGCCCGCTGATGACGTTGCCATTCCCTGATCAGATTTTGGGCCAAATCGAGTCTTACATGACATTGATGGTAGACCCTTCAGCTCATCCATGACAACAGAGTTATCAGCTTCTGGAAAGCAATCAAGCATGTCTTCGGATCCCCTTCGAGACCAATCACTTAGCTTTGGAGACATGATATCAGAATCTTCAGTTACACTGGAGTTGGAGATTTTAGCAACATCAGGGCTTCCTGAGAGATTCTGTGCATCCTTTGGTGTATAGGACTCCATAATCTTCTCAAGAGTTTCGGCGATTCTAACCAGACGCTCATTTACACTTAAGCCCTTGAGGTCGCATCTGTCTGCTAGTGTACAGATTCTAGAGTGGTCTTCCAAGTGAAAAGTGGGAACTTCCTCTTCACAAATGCGGCATATCATGGAAGGCTCATCGGAAACATTTTGTTGGTCTCCCCAATAACCCCAGGAAACCTTGTGGTGATGCTTAGCAGGAACAGAAGATTGCCCAGCAAGCTCTGAAGATTTTAAAGCTAAAAGATCAGTATCTGAACCTGTTTTCCCTCTATCTGACAACCGCATTGTATCCACTTTACCAGAAGATGGTTCCTCTTTCACATGGAAGGATTCTTTCTGGTTCTTCTCAGCTGATGCAGAGTTGAATTTCTTGTAAGACGTAAAACGCCCCATGCTAGAAGGTGAGCTAACATTTTTTGTAGCTTCTGCATCAGGCTGGGAGGAAATAGTTGCAGAAGAAGCCACAGCTTGACTTCTCCTCCACAAACTGTCCTGTTCTTGGCTATAAAACTTCATAGTGGATTTGGCCTTCAGTTTCTTACCATCACTGAAAAACCCCTCATCCCTGTGTACTGTAGAAGGCATCATCTTTTCTGCACTGTAGCCCAAGGCACCACTTTGACGATGTGCAAAAGAAGGCTCATCTTCCACAAAACTATTTTCCTTGTGAAACTGAAGCAATCGTGTGCATCTTGTGAGAATGAAGAGCATGCGAGTGTAAAGTTTCTTCAGCACTCCCATAGGAAGCTCTTGCCTTCGGTCATCAATATCTTGAACTATGCCTTCACATTGTAACCAAAACTCCCCTGGTGACATCATGGTACATTGTCGAGCTAGAATCAACAAATCCTCCAAAGTTTCCTGCCATTCAGGATGAACCTCGGCATTTTTCTCAAGGAGACCAACCAAATCCCCTGCAAAAACGGCTAGATCAGAGTCCACTTCTTCCTTTGCTCGGTCAAATTTTGCACGAATGACTGCTACAACCTCCTGCAATGAACATTAAAGTGTGCAAAAGTGAGCAGAAAATCTCAAACAGACTGACTGAATCCCAAGATAACTAAGCATAACCACTCACAGTCAAGTTAAACAGCCCGCGAGGCTTCCAAAATGGAAATGGCTTCACTCCTTTAGAATTCAACTCATGCGAGAAACTTTTGATATCACCAGGATTCCTCCTGGGAGCACTTGTAAGCCGCATTATGGCTTGAAAACGGGGAGATTCGGATTCATTTGGAGCCTCAGAAATGCCGCAAGGGGTCTACATGAACATAGCATTTATTATCATCCACTAGAATCATATAAATAATTAACAAACAACAACACTCAGCATCTAAAACAAAACGAAATGACATGAAGTACTTCAAGTAGATCAAAGGTCTAGTGGATCAACACCTGTGCATCAGGAGTACAAACATTTGAACTATTAAACCCTTCAGATTGACTCCATAAAAAATTTCTCTGTCCTGTCAAAACCATAATTCAAACAACATACAAAAAATTAACTACGAAACGAAATACAATAAGAGTAATAAATAAAATGACCATATCAACAACTTTGCATGAAATATAATCTCAGCCAATAGGTCACTAAAATGACAATAAAAGAAAAGTAAGCAGAAGGCAGAGAAGTCATATACATTTAAAAAAAATAAGTAGTAAATGTTTTAAGAGCTAGAGATTTCATGATAAATGATGAGTTGAACAAGCCAATAAACTAACACTGACTGGAAAAAGGTTGTTAGAATTGTTGCCATTTTTTTTTTAGTGTAGATTAATGATTATGGACCCATATTGCCATTTGATGAGAAATGGAATGATGCAACTTTGTATGGATTTGATGCCAATAAACCCTATATAGTTTTAGCATTTCAAATTCAAGTTTCAATCCAATTCATGTATAAATTTCAAATAGCACAACTGCACAACATAATAATCCACACAAGCCCTAAATAATTTTCTATTTTTTTTAATACATATACTTATCAATAGGTTCATTTCCACGGTTTTGGGGTCCATGAACTGCCCCTACAAACTCCCCAGAGGGCCTAGACCCCTCAAGTCAAGCTAGGGCCACCTGGTTCTTGGGCAGCCACCTAAGCCCCCGCATCCGCAATTTTTTAACACTGAGCCTTAACATATGAATCTTGGCTGCAACATTCTTTTGATTTGCAATTGGAATTAGTTAGTGAACTACAATTGACAGAAAACAAAACCGGGGCAAAGGGAATCATTCAGAGTCATAGTTGGCTTATACAAAATCAACAAGAGAGAGGTAGCAGAGGCTTCAAAGACGAATAAGAGGGATAGCGCAAGCATACAGCATTTGCCAAGATGCAATTAAGGAGCACCATAAAGACTAAGACTTGTAAAAGAGATAAGAGCCTCGAAATAGCATTAAAAACCTCCATGAAAAGATGACCTTAAATTAACGAACACAAACCTAATATACACAAGGTTAGTGAACCATAAAGCTTAATCATGTTTACTTTGTGCTTATAGGTTATGAATGCCTTACAATCAGCAAATAAATCAATATCCTAGGTTAAACACCCAAAGGCATCATATAACAAAAAGTCCACAATGTCTTAAACATTGACATGCGCTATTGTCGCCACATGGTACAATGGCCACGACAACACGCAAATTAGTTAGGCAAACCGAACTAGAGCTCAATGAAATTATCTTTTCACCCTTCATATGAAATAGAGATTCCCATAATCTTATTCCTACCAAGTAAAATTCTGTATATTTCGCAGCATATGAATTTAATTTGTGACGGTCAAATCATTAGAAAAATATTGAATGTGCAATTTATGAAGCTTCAGCAGAGTTTTTTTTTCTAATTATCAAAAAACAAAAAAGATTAAGCAGAAGTGTGTTCAGTTTTCCTTATAAAGAAACACTTGGGTTATTTGCCCACCACATGATTCGCCAACATGCTTCATCAAAACCATATTGTTCCACATAAGGCAGCATAAGGAATCTAGGTCAAGATGTTCTACTATCCTACCAATTTCTCATAAGTACTTTAAAAAAAAAAATTCTCATGAGTACTTAAAAAAATAAATAAATAAATTCTTTTTATGGGAAATATATTTTGACATTTGAGTATACACCGAATTTCACCAAAAGGGATCAGTAAACCAAGATGTGTGCAAGAGTAAACCAATAAAAGAAACAACAAGGCCTCTCTACAAAAAGTGCATGCGTACTAACATCCATCTAGCTAGGGCATCTGCTAAAGAGTTCTCTGCTCTGATAAAGGAGAACCTGTTCTGCTTCCTATGAAACATTCATACTGCTATACGTTTCTTCAACACAGATACTAATAATGGATACTGCTGAGATACTTGACAATTATAAAAAATATCTTATAATCTAGTGCATTTCATCGAGAATGAGATGGGATATTGCTATGATACTTTTTTTTTGTTTGTTTGGGTAGATCAGTGGGGATTACAAGCCCCTACTTGTTTTGGAAAGAGTCAATTTTTTGAAAGTGTTAATAAGAATGGAGGCCATGACCTTTAACTGGGGCTCAGGTGGTACTACGACCACAACCCCAATCCCATTCTCATATTGCTAGGATACTTGAAAGTATGAATTGACAACTATAAAAATATATTATAATATTATGCATTTTTTGATGATGTATTATATATCAATGGGTTGGAGGCATATATTTTGGTATACTAGATATAATATATATTTATTAGATGTCTTAGCTAGGATACTCCGATCAGTATCCATCCCATGAATGTTGAGAAATTATGAGCCGTGCCTCATTCTGCATATCTGCATATCCATACCCACCATGTCTGCGCATCTTAGCCTATTAGTAGTGTCAAGGCGCATAGGTTAATTCTTGTATCTACCATGGCACATCAACTCACCTCATCACATTCAGCAAACCACCTTTGAACACCAAGTGGTAAAGCATTGGGAGAAGAACCAAAGACCACAAGGAGGGTCAATGCCTCCATGAGAGGAGCAACCTTAAATCCTAAAAGGCCAGCAAAAGCAACAGTTCGGAAAAATGATGGGTGTCTTATTAAATTGCCACCCTTCAGAGACTAGGATTCCCATGGTAATTGAGGTGGCTCTATCTCACATAAATAATGTCAAACAAGACAGTTGCAAATCGCATTTAAGTAACCATAGACCATGTCTATAGTGCAAAATCTTCACAACTCCTTACAAACCAGAACCAAGCAATCACTGGATCCCCATTTTTATCACAAACAATCAACTCTTTCAAGAGAGGACTCTAAAATATTATCTTGTCTCACTCTAACCAAATAGATCAACTCTTTCAAGAGTTGACTCTAAAATATGATCTTGTCTCACTATAACCAAATAATCCTTACGATAGCCAAACAAAAAGCTTTGACAAAGTGAGGCACTGAAGGAGGAATGGAGGCCAAGCCCAAAATTAAGCCACTAATGTTGGAATCACCTAGACAGTACCAAAAACGACCAAAGAAGGATCCAAAGAGTTCAATCAAGCAAACAGTAAAGTAAAAGGTCGTTGATGGTCCCCTTGGCTTTTCCTTGCACGTTACATGATACTATCAGTTGAACATGTGATGCGTGTTTTATACATAACTTGTTCGTAATAATTTTGTAAAGAGAAATATACCATGCTTTTGCAGTAGCATACTGTATAAATACTCCCTCAGACTTTTTTAATCTGAAATACTGAGATCCACCTAAGAATTACTAGATGATTATTTTTAAAAGAAAAATCAAAATTTTGAGTTGTTCAACACTTAGATCTCACCCTCTAGAAAAAAATTTTGAGAATGATCTCACCCTCTAGAAATTTGGCAGTCCCTAGTCTTCAATACTTAGAGTGAGATTCGAATATTAAAAAAAAAAATCTCAAGGTTACTCTCTAGTTTGAAGAGGTTACAACTCCTCAATTTGGGGTTCTAAAAGTACTCCAAGATTGGTTTTTGCCTGAGAAAGTAAATGGACAACATGCACCGCTATGAGCATGAAATATTTTGGCTTTTGTAAATATAAAGTTTTTTGGAATTAAGTTATTTTAAATTGGTCAGAGGAACCTTTTCTTTATGAAATTTTGAAAATAAGTGTGATTGAACATACACAAGAATGGTGATTTATCAGCATGACATTCGTCTCTTCAGGGACAAGAAAATCCTAATCAACCAACAAACCATAGTAAAATCTTGGAATTTGTATATATTAAAATAAATTTGTGGGCAATTTTTTAAAAAATATGTTTGGAATAAGCATCAGTTTAAAGCATATGATTATAATTCGCATATGCTTGAGAGCACACACAGAGTCATAGAGATTCAATAAAGTATAACACTTCTGTGCTTACGGAGCTCTACACTTTCAGTGGAGGTATTGTTAAACTCTATTGTACTTAGAGGTGCATACTATAGGCTTCAAAGTAAACAATTAGGGGTAAAATAGATTTTTAGGCCATTGTAGAGTTTCCAGCTCCAGAACTCAATTTAGCTCAAGCCTTGTGCTGACCGCACCCAATTATATATACCATGTTTACCTAAGGCAGCCTAGGAATGTGCTGTAAAGGGATCACTTAGCATGTTGGGCATTCATTGTTGGCTTATTGTGTCAAATTCAACTATGTATTTTTGGGATCAGATCATGGTTAAATGGGTGAATCAATCTACTTTTCCAAGTTTTATTTTATTTTATTTTTATTTTTTTCCATTGTTCATCATTCTTGGATCAATGGATTTTTTGGATGAATCAGGAAAAATAAAAATAAAGCGGAGCATGAAGAGGGTGGAGAAGGAATCATGAGAAACACTCATAATAACTCATGGAATTCTCTTTTAGCCAAAGGGAATTAGCTTGTGGGCCAGAGAAAGTGAGAAAGATACTCGAGTCATGAGAGGGAGGAAGATCAGCGGCAAGGAAAAGCCAAACAATCTCCATTTAATGGACAGGAAATGAAATTCCCAATTCACCAAATCCTAAAACCACCACCTTCTGCCCCAAACAAACCAATTTCTTCAAAAGATCAAAGTAGGCACCAATCAAAGGCAGTTCTTACAATTTCAATAGTGATTATCATCAACTTCCACTCTCTCTCTCTCTC